CCTATCTCATACCTGTCCTGTAGTGGAAAGGTTAGAGGCACCGCATACCCATTCTGTGTGCATGTACTGGTTGCCACTCTAACTTATCCGCTCACAAAATGGGCATGAGGGATTCATTTGTAAATCTTCCACTGTGTTAGTAGCTTTGCAAGAATGTACTACGTAATCACCAACAAAGGCACTTTCACAAACACTAGCTCATCAAGATTGTAACTTGCTTAGTTAAATGAATTGTAGGGCTCAGTCCCTGAGCTCATTATGTGCCTCTGTAACACTTTCCACTACCGCCCACAGGATGGGTATGGGGTGCATAATAAATTAATTAAACTAAGTAACAACACCACCCCTGTACCGTCTGGTATGTATATACATAAATAATGTATGGGGTCCTTTGACAAACCACCGGCTTCTTGTCATCGTCGAGGCCACTAGAGTGTCGGAGGCGGGACCAAAGAGATAAAGCTCAACCCCCCACAAGCACAATTAGGTGACTGTTGTTGTTGATGATCTAGGGGGCGACACTAGAGTGTAAGTGACCTTCAGGTAAATAAATAAAAGCGATGTCGTCTTCCTCTTGATGGTAGGTGCAGTTTGCATGAAGGATTTATCCTCCCGATGACTGCACAACACGATATCTTCTTCTTCTTTATAGTAGGTGCAGTTTGCATGAAGGATTTATCCTCCTGATGACTGCACAACACGATATCTTCTTCTTTCTAGTAGGTGCAGTTTACATGAAGGATTTATCCTCCCAATGACTGCACAACACGATATCTTCTTCTTTATAGTAGGTGCAGTTTGAATGAAGGCTTTATCCTCCCGATAACTGCACAACACGATATGTTCTTCTTCTTTATAGTAGGTGCAGTTTGTATGAAGGGTTTGTCGTCCCGATGACTGAACCAACACGACATGTCGTCTATGTTGTGTTGATTTAGGGGCGACTACGAGGTTTGTTTTGAAAACTAAGACAGTCAGTTCATTTACTCCGTCAATATTTACGTTTTCTTTGATGGTTCAAATCCATGTCAGCCATATTTACGGATAACTTAGGCACACAAAAATACAAAATCTAATTGAGTTGAGATGAAATTTATGCCAAATATAATTAATATTACGGTAGCTAAGCTTAATCTCTGCACACAAATTAATTTTCAGTCCGATTACTGAACTACATTTATTCACATATGTGATACTATGCTGACTTGTACCCCGTTTATCGGTACATCATAATTATATCATAATTATACAATGTATAATTGTATATACAATTATACATTTTATACAATGAGAGTTTACTTCAATCTTGAACTGCCCGACTATTTGGGATGGACGGTAAAGCGACGGTCTCACTTCGAGCAGGTCTGCGTTCAATCCCCGACCGTCCAAGTAGTTGGGCACCATTTCTTTCCCCCGTCCCATCCCAAATCCTTATCCTGATCCATTCAAAGTGCTATATAGTCCAGATGGCTTGGCGCTTTCGCCTGATACTTCCCCTTCAGTCCTGAACTATGAGGGCAGAACCAAAAAATAATGGTGGAGGACTTAACTAATATAACACACCCACGGTTATATGTATGTCTTAAGCCCAACGCTTAAAAGATAAAAGAATTTTTATTGACAGTATATTATACTGACAGAAAACATACAAACAAAAAATATTTTATAAGATATAGAAAGGATCAGCATTCCTGGGGTAATAATACTACATAAGAAATAGAATAATATATATATATATATATATATATATATATATATATATATATATATATATATATATATATATATATATATATATATATATATATATAATCAAAATGTTTATTCAGATAAAAGTACATACATAGAAGATGAGTTACAAACATAATGTTGGATTTATAGATAAAGCTAGTACATACAATGCCTAAATCCACTAATACGCATAGCGTTTCGAGCAAAGTGTGGGGGGGGGAAACACTTAGACTAAAACGTAATAGTAATTGTTACACATCCCCAGGAAGCAGCCCGTAGCAGCTGTCTAACTCCCAGGTACCTATTTACTGCTAGTTGAACAGGTGCATCAAGGTGAAAGAAACTATGCCCATTTGTTTCCGCCTCCAAGGGGGATCGAACCCGGAACCTCAAGACTATGAATCCGAAGCGCTGTTCACTCAGCTGTCAGGCCCGGCTAGGATTTGAACCCATGCCGTCCAGGATCACCCCTAAACGCACATAGTACCGTGACCACCGCACCAATGTTCGTCTGCAATGATGAACGATTATTGGTGGGTGGTCATGAATCCTGGCCGGGTCAATTAGCAACCTAAAGTGATGTACTTAATGATGGAATGAATAAACTACAGTGGGCGCAACATCCGAGGGTGGAGTTAGTACAATATTGAATTAAACTACAGCTTAAAGGATGAGTATGGGTTCCACAATAAACTACCATTCGCAGAATTAGTATGGGATGCACAGTAAACTCACAGGATATGTATGGGGTTCACTACAGGTCATAGGATCCACTATCGCTCACACGATGGCTATGGGGTCCACTATTGTTCCCAGGATGGGGCATATGGTGCATAATAAATGAACTAAACAAAATCACCGCTGAAGGCAACAATCAATACAGAGCTCAGCGGTGAGCATCGCTTACACATGCTTTTTTTTTTTACTGGCAATCAATGTGTACATGAAAGTTATACAGTAAACTGATGATACTATGAGCTGAACGTATTGACTTATAATTTTCAGGGTGACTAAAGCACAACCGGGATGAGGAGACATTTTAGAAAAGTGATAGCGACATCGGATGCAACAAAATGGCATCATTTTGGGAGCCTCGTCAAAATATAAGTACTTTTCCTGACTTTCCGCAAATTATTACTCATTGGAGCGAATATGAGCGCTTAATTATTGGTACAGATCCACTTATTATATATATAAATATATTGGTGTGTTTAGTTATTATTATATAGGGTGTCGGCACCGAAATCTCGACAGTGGCTTACATATGTAAGTAATCATCAAAAGAAGGCACCAAGCCGGGAAGGCTATGTGTCACAATGCCTCTCGTGCATGTGACGTCAGGCAACCACCTGTTGAGGGGTCAAAGGACGCTGCAAATACGGATTACGTCTACGGCGTCACAAGGGAATAATGAGATGTATCTGTTTTAAGACTAAAATTGGCTGAAATGCTGTATAGTTTCGATCCTTGTAAATTGTTACAATTGTCATTCTCATATGATGCATTTACATCTGATCCTGTAAACATATCCGAACACAGCGTCATTTGGTCCCTTACAGGTACTCGCGTGACGTAACAGGCAAGGAGTCATTAGAATGCTATTTAATTACTGCAGGGATCAAAGTTTCCGCACTGTATATACACGTACCGTAGATTAGTTTACGACCAGCTTATGTCCGTCCCATACCTCAGACCATTTCTCTTGCAAAATTGGGTGAGGCTGGAGGCTAACCCAAGCGTCTGACCTTGGACAGACATTCAAGTTCAAGTATGTTTATTGAGACAAGAAAGAAATACATCTCAAAGGGATAGAGTAGCTTAGGCTATTTCTAACCCCCCCCCCCCGGACAGACATTCCCTTTTATAGTATTGCTATACATGAAGGCACAATGGGTTGTGAAAGTACATACGTTGATGATAAGGTAGTACATTCTTGCAGTGGCACTAACATGCATAGCGTTCCGGGTAAGCCCTTAAGCTAACAAATAAATGTATCAGAATTTGAATACACATGATTACTACCTAAGTATAAAACTTTAAAAATAAATTACCGTTGAGATTTTATTTCTAGATTGTAGTACTTGTATACTATAAGTTAGTTAATGTGGCATAAGATACTGCGTGAGTTACTAGCACAAGATGGGATACTGTGAAGATGAATTAGTTACTTCATTATTCTACTTTTGAATGAAGTATAGTTTGGACAATTTTTGTAATTCATTAGGGAGTAAGTTCCATATGTTGAGTCCTTTTACTTCCATAGCGTGTTTTTAATTTAGTGAGATTTAAAGTATCAGATATCATTATCATATTTATATCTGATGTAATGCTCATGGGTTCTATTACAATCATCTAGGAAAAGTTTTAAAACAGGATTAGACTCTAGGAATAAGGTTTTTCAAGTGTAAATAGCACAAAAGAATGTGTGGAGTGAGTGTATGTATAGCAAGTTCAGGAATTTAACCAGCGAAGGGCTTTGTTGTCCGAAGACAGAATTTGTTTTAGTTCTGATAGATGAGTTTTTCTTGGGGTGATGATGGACTTGAGGCAGTGTACAATGGTTGAACAGATACCGTAAGTTAGAGCGGGATAGATTAATGAGTAGTATAGTGTGAGAAGAGCAGACTGAGTAACATAATAACTGATATTAGAGAATATACCAGCAGTTTTAGAAACTTTTTGGGCTACGTGCTGTACAATTCAAGTGAGCTTGAAACACTGAATCACAGTATGTGAGCACTGACGTTGTCTCTTCTCTATGTATAGGCCAAGGAACTTTGCCTCATTTTTACTATCAATGTTTACATTGTCTGTCTGATGGTGTCTTTGGTTCAACGATTGGTTTCCAAATAAAATTGTAGTAGACAATTTCTAAGCTCAGTTGGGAGTTTGTTGGTTGACAACCACTATTAGACACTGAAGATTGTCTCTACAAGTCGTCTTCATGCCAATTATATTTCTTTCTAAGTTTCCTAATGATTTAGAGTTGTTTTGATGATAATGTGTTGCTCAGTTGCCTTCTATAAGATGAAAATTCTCCAAAACAGCACCCGAGTTCCGTCCTTCGCTAAAATTCGTTCCAGTCCCATTATTATCTCAAACAACTTGAAATGCTCTGATAAATGCATTTAGCCTTTAGCAGAGAGTGCTAGTTGAGCACTCCGACTGCTGGGGTCAAAGCAGGTGTTTGTAATTGGTTGTTAATTGTTGTTAAAAGTGTTTAAGTTCATATTTTGGCGGGTGTGAGGGGGAGAACCTCACCCGGCCCAGCGTCTTTGTGTGGTCGCGTGTGGCTGTTCCCGTCACCAGGCTCACCCCGGCTCCTCTTCCTCACCATCTCTCTCGCCTCCTCCAGCATACACCAGCAAGATACCACAGTACCCAGCAAGATAAAGGATCAGTAGAAGTGTTGGCGCGGCGGTCGTGGCGTTGCAAGTGAGTTGCCCGCGTGTAGAGCCTCAGTTGCAGGCCGGCGTTGATCAGCTGATCTGACAGGGAACAGCGGTGGCGTTAGCAGTAGAGTTGCTCAGCTCCAGAGTCATGGAAAACCTCCCATAATTTCCTCGTCTCAGGCCTCTTCGTAAGAGTATGTGAGTATGGAGGCGAGGGATAGTCCCGTCCACGTGCTGGATAGTGTTAGAAGTGGGTGGTTGAAGCGGTTGTGTGTTAAGAGCGAAATGTTTAAGTGTTGGCGTTGAGCGAGGGTGGCCGAGCTGCTGGCTTGGTCAGCTGGCACCAGATGCAGGATGAATAACCTGAGATGAATGGTGGTGAAGGACGGGGGTTGGCCTCACGACTGGAGAGGATTGATGTAGTGTTAGGTTGACTGAGTGTGTCTATGCCAGTTTTACGTGACGTTGAGAAGGTGTAAAGCCAAACTTAAGTTACTGAATATGAGAAGATGAATGCGTGATGAACGGGATGTAGCTTGAATTAAATGGAGAGAGAAAATGCATTGTGTAAATTATAAGTAATTGGAACAAAATTAATAAGTAACATACATAGGGTCTGACCTCAGACAAATCATAAGCCCTTTGCTGAAGTATTATAACCCAGAATATCTGTAATGAGTTACTGATTGATTTATGTTTTCTATAATTTTCTGATTTGTTCTTAATAGTATCAGTGTTGCTGCACTATTTAGTTTATGGCTTTAGAAGTTTTGTGGCACAGTTCTTCATTGTAGGGGGCAGCATGCACTAAATTTGTTGGCTGGTTTGATTGCTTGACTAGATCAGTTGGTTCAAGATTCCATGCCTTTTGTTATTTATTGTAAAGGTAAACAAGCCTAGTAGAAACATTAAACCTAAAATAATCTGGTATTTAATGTTTTGCAGTTCTAATATTGTTTCAAATTGTGTATTGTCACAGAAAAATAGACAAATTATGATTATTTCTGTCATGCTTTGCAGTCCCTCACTTTGTATGGAACTAAACACAATACCATATTTTATTTTCTCATAAATTGCCATGCAAATACTCTACTGCATAGTAAGAAGACAATATAAACATTTAACTGAAATAATTTCATTTTCATCCATTCCCACACTACCACATGTTGCTGGGTTAGGGTTAAGTAAATGAGTTGGGTCCAGTTGTCAGTGTACAAGATGTGCTCCTTGTCTAGTGAAGAATTATAATGCTTTCACAACTGTGGCAGAGAAATCATATGGGTTGTTTGTAGTGATGTCGGTACTAATGCCAGTGCACATAATCTTTAAAATTACCAATCCTGTTTCTCACAGGATAAATGAAGTCCAAATTTGTGGTGGTAAGGAAATATGTACTGCTTGAGTGATGCTTTTCTTTGAACAGTATAAATGAATTGTCAATTGCAGTGTTCATGTGTATTACAGTAGGTCTTGAACTTGGTTTTCAGAATAGTGGACAGTTGTCATATTATTTTTGTTTTTTACAATAGTCTTTTGCTTCTGTATTATTACTGTATTGGCAAAGTGAAGATTTTACAGGTGCAGGAATCTGTCTTGTGGCATACTTGACAAACATAGAAGAGGGAATGATAGGTATATTTTTCAAGTATTTGTGCCTTTTTCCATGTGGCATTCATTACCAATCCAAGGGGGTGCATACATTTCCCTGATATTAGTGTCTTTCCACAATTGCACACCTGAAAATGGGCATAAATTCCTGTGACTTTCATGCCTGTTGGTCTCCCTTACAGTATGTTTTTTAACTCCCTTACAAAGTTTTTGTTTTTGGTGTGTAGGACTGAAAAGTCCTACTTAGCCAATGTACATAGATCCTGAGATGAAGAATTTAACTGGGGATGAAGAAGTGTATTGAAAAAACCTTGTCCATCAGTTGTTAGCAGGAACTGTTGAAATTTTCAGTTTTTGGGGTGAAGGATTGAAAAGAACTAACCTAATATGAAGAATTTAACTAGGGTTGAAGAGGTCCTACAATAAAATATAAATTGTTCCAGGTATTCATGTTCACTTATTTCATCATGGATAATAAAGTCCTGTGTCATGCCTGAATTTGTATTTGCTTTGCATGGCATGGCTATGTTTTTGTGCATATGACCTCGCCACATCCCAGAAGAACTGAAAACTGTAACACATACACTCTGAACACTAGTACCTAAGTCCATGTACATGAGAATGTATTGCTTGAGGCACCAAAGTTGTTCATCATTATACCACGCTAATCTAATATGGGAGAGGTGTTGTGTTGTGCTCTCCATCACCACCACCTGCTTGATACCTGCTTGATGGGGGTTCTGGGAGTTCTACTCCCCAAGCCCAGCCCGAGGCTAGGCTTAAATTGAGAGCTTGGTTCAACAGGCTTGGAGCAGCCCACAGGCCTAGAAATCCGCCACAGCCTGGTTGGTCCAACACTTCTTGGAGATAACTATCTAGTTTTCTCTTGTTCTGGCAATATTTCTTATACATTACTCCTAGGAAGGATGTTGAACAACCGTGGACCTCTGATGTTTATACAGCATTCTCTGATTGTGCCTATGACCTGCTCTTCACTGGTTATTCTCCATTTTCTTCCATATTGTTCAATCCAGTATGTTATTTTACTGTGTAGATTTGGGACCTGGCCCTCCAGTATTTTCCATGTGTATATTATTTGATCTTTCTTGTCTCCTTTCTATTGAATACATTTGAAGAACTTGAGAGGATCCCAATAATTTGGGTGCCCACCGGATCACTAAACCCTTGGAAGGGTAGTGTGGCATCAGTGTTGCCATGATGACAGCTTGAGTCGCTTTCCTTGTGTTCTGGGTTGTACATGGGCTCACTTTGTGATGCATACTCATCACTTTTAAACTGCAGCTACAGCTATGTAGTTTCTGTGTTCTGTGATGTCAAGGAATGCTTATACCAGTGTGAGTGCCGATGAGCTGAAATGACATACACCAGACTTGGTAGCTGTTAAAAGAATAATGCATGGGATAGACACTGGGGCACTTGGGATGCCTTGCCAAGATGGACAGTTACCACAAGCAACTAACTATTGATGGATAACTTAACCATTGACCCAATAGGACTTGTAAACAATCTGGTTTAAGTGAAATTATCTATTGAAAATTAAAGCAGTTGTACCTGCTTGATGGGGTTCTGGGAGTTGTTCTACTCCCCAAGCCCAACCCGAGGCCAGGCTTGACTACACATTATCTACAGATAAGCAAAGCAACGTGGAAGCTTGTATGGGGTATTTTCAAATGCACAGTATATACAGTAAGCTACAATAATATAAGACTACAAGACTACTGTATTTCCTGGCCTGTGTTGGACTGTCCTTGGTGTTGCATTTTGTTTGTTGTTGTGCAAGACATTTACATTCAGGCATTCAGTTAGAGCAGAGATTCTTAATCTGAGGTATCCCATACATTTTTGGGGGGGGGGGGGGGGGGGGGGGAATTTTTCCATGTAAATAAATATGATAAATCCTTAGGAATTTTTTTCAGTTTTTTCTTGGCTATACATATGTAAAATAAAGCTATTGATATTTTTTGAAGACATACTAGTTCTTAATAGTACTGGTAGTAGTGATTCTTGAGTTGAATGAAGAGGGGTATGGAGACGTATTGGATAATCCATTGGGGGTCTGTAATCAAAAAGTCAAGAACTCTGAATAGCTTGACAAGCAGATCAGTAACTGTGAAAAATGTGGAACTTTAGAAAATAAAGTCACACTAAGGACAGGTCATACTGCATTCTCCTCAGCTTGTGCTAAGGAAGTACACGTTACACCAAGGAATGGTGTGTGCAAGTAGAGCACTCGAGGGGAGTCTAGGATATTGTTAAAGGCTAATGCTGAAAGATTTTATAATTTCGTGAAACATCAAAAACAATTAATTAGGGTTTTCCATCATTTTGGCACGTTACATTCCTGTAAAAACCATGCAAAATAAATACAAATCGGATTTAAATGCATATGAGAAGTAAGGTTAGGCTCGAGAGACCTCCAAAAGTAAATTTGTCCTTTTTATTCAATAAAACACACAAATTTAATATAAGTATATAATGCTTTCCAACCAAATTTTCAGTACATAATGCTTAGGTTGTACAGTGATTTACAAATAAAGCCTGTAACATAAACACTTATAAAACACACTAGTGTAAGATGTCTGAACTTGACACTCATGAAAATTCATTACAAGAAACCAGGGGATTAGCATTTTAATTTTTTCTGAACTGAAGTACAGTAATTCAGATTCACCCCCCCCCTTGCATCATGAAACTTTAAAAATGCTGGCCCTAGTAATTCCAGTCGGCTTAATCTATTACAGTACAGTACAATGTAAATTGTGATACCTGTACTGTACATACAAATACTCTATGATGTAAGAGATAATGATAAAGTAACTCCTTTAGAGACTGGTTCTTTAATGCAGTATTACTGTTAAGTGGTTTTGTATTGTTGAGCATTGTACAGTATAGGGTGGATTTAGGTCTAAGTTTTATTACTTTTATTTTATCTATGCTTCAATATCTGATGCACTTCTCTGAATAGCCATTCACCCAGCACTCTGTCTAGCTTAAATCTTTTCACAAAAAACGAACAAAACCAAGAATGCACATATGAATGGCTAAATTAGTTTGATAAAATATACACTTTCTTTTAGCATATTTAAGTTTGAGAATGTTGTGTCCTATGTCTTAGTAGTTTTTCCTTTAGTGGTTTTCCCAAGTTACCTGGATGGTTAACTCCAAACCTAGAACACCCTACCAAGGCCTGTGAGTCACAAGCACCTACTGGGACCCAGGACCAGACTCTGGACCCCTTGACAGGCAAGGGAGTCTGGGGATACTAGACCAACCTGAGTTAAGAACTATCACCATCAATAGAGCGATCCAAAACAAGCAACTAGATAGAAACATTGGCTTTAAGCTAATCTGGCAGGAACAACTTGGGCAGCCACTAAAGAGACCCACCAGGAAGAGGCATCTCATTACATTCAACAATGGCTCTTTTTCCAGGCAGTGATTGATGTCTGCGACACCTACTGGTGCCCTCGGGTCTGACTCTGTCCCCGTGTCTCCCCCTCTTCCCCCTGCCACAACTGGTCCCCAAACCCCAACATCCTCCCCAGTTGTCTCTACTGGCTCGACCCCTGTCACGCAGAGTTCCAGTGGCACTACACGACACTCTAACTCGGCACGCTCTTCAGTTGCGAGTGAAGGACGTTCATCCAATCCCAAGATGTCAAAGGCACTCAGCACAAGCGCTAAAAGGCAAGATTTAGCGTGATTCTGTTTTTTAGGATTTTCTATTCATGAACATTCATTCATTTTTTCATGTCTGTTTTCATACATCTTTACAGACTACAGTATCTTTTTAATGTGAAGGACAGTTTAACATAATATTCCTTAACATACTCTACTTTTCATAATGTTAAACACTTCACCTTTTCTGTATGTATCTCTGATATGAGTGTTTAAGATGAATACAAAATTAATAGTCCTGAAGTATGCTAGGGCATGCTTTTTGTAGTCTCAATTTTATTTGCTATAATAGGAAATTTAGCAACTGTCATTTTTTTTAATATAGACAAGCTAGACAATTTATTGGGTTCTTTGGAAATAACAGTTGGTTTTGAAGCAAGTGCTGTACTGTACATGACATGCTAAATGATGAGTGGCTGGCTGTTGTTTGAAATACATAACATACTACTCAGAGCAGTGTGGTGGCCATTATTTTTTGTTTTTGGTACTGATTGGTTATGGGAGCAGTATGGTTCCTCAACATACTGTACTCGCTGTTTAATATAACTGGTAGACTGCCACTTCTGAACACGACACAAATAACGAGTAGGACATAGCCTTGTATTGTTCATTAAACATTGTAGTCTGTACATCATATTAACCCAATTAATGGTAGTTTTATACAAATGTATTAACTTTATAGGTTTTGCATTGCAGGCAGTCTTTAGCATTTTTATCCACAATTTGATCAAAGGAAAACAGCCTGAGGCAGCTGGTTAGTTATTACTGTTGTTGCCATCCAGTGTGATTCCATAAAATGGTCTCTTCCTGAAAGCTATTGTTCACTTTCTCTAAGTTGATGTGATATGACAAAGTTCATTTGATTGAAATTTCTAGTGCTTGTTTCTAGTACTAGTGTGGAAAAGTATTGTCACTCCCAGGTGTGTACTGCCAGGCTTGCAACATGGAAAAATGACTGTTGAAGACTTGAAAAAATCAGTCATTCAGTAAAGTTTTTCAGCAATAGAGAAAAGTGTTCAGTAATGACATTGAAATTGTGTAACCACCTCGCTGCATAGCACGCCTTGAGCTAGATCGGGGGTGCGCAGAGCACCACAGGGTGCTCGTAGGTATAGCTTAGGATTCATAACCCGTGCGGCTACATGGGGTTCACATCAGCTTCCTCAGGGCTCTAGTAAACAGATGCCATTTAAATTAAAAAAAAAAAGTTGTGGGCAACATTCCTGAGTGGTACTGAGTGAGAGACCAAGGCTGATGCATGGAACATGAAGTAACAGCTCTGTTATTAAGCTTGTGACCACAGCATTGCCTAAAAATGTCAAAATATATATGTAACTGGTATTATTTAGCCATAATAGTATTACAGAAGAGCCTGACAGTGATAATGACTGTGTACAATGTTCAGATATTAGTGAACACAGTGCTGTTAAAGATGTTCACAGCACTAGCCACAGCACACTGACATTGTTTGGTCCATCCAAGAATCTTGAAATGATTTCTCATGTTCCTTTACAAAATAAACTTATAGAAAAATTTTCATTTACATGATTTAGTGACCAGGATTCTGATAATAGCAGGATTGTGGTGATAATTAGTGATGTGCATAGTATGGTGTGAGGAGGAATTTTGGCGAGGAGGGAAGGATATAGCGTTAGATGGCTGGTGTGTGGCAGCCTGTCTTGTTTGGACTCGCCATACCAGCTTAGTGGTTCACTATGGTGAACACAAATGTAGATAATTATATATAATTTGTATATAGTGTAATACCAGCATAAGGAGTATGATGGGAGGAGCCATTTTGGTGAGGGAGTCTGTTGTCTGCTAGCTTCTGTGTGTGCTAGCTTCTGTGTCACTTGTCATGAAGTTTTTTTTGTGGCCACTATGTTGTTTGGATACCATACCAGCTTAGTTGTACAGTTATGGTGAACAAAATGTGTAGATACTTATATATAACATGTGTAAATAGTGTAATAAAGATAACAGTATGGTGGGAGGAGGAATGTTGGCTAGTGAGGTGTTCGAGGGAGGGAGGTGGCGTCTGCTAGCTGCTGTGTCGCGGCCACTCGTGTTGTTTTAACTCGTCATACCAACTTGGTGGTTTATGGTGAACACGTAGATAAGGTATATACAACGTGTGTGTGTATATATATATATATATACTGTAGTGTAATAACAGCAAAAACACTGATCGTAGAATATAGTACTGTATACACGTCACATGTATGAGCTCATAATTTTGAGAATAGCAATGTTCCACATTGATCTGTGTAAATTCCACAAATTACACACTTTTGAATAATACAGCAAAAAACATAGAAGAAATTAATAAGACACATCAAAATAATTGTGAAAATTATATTCGAGGCAACTGCTGCCCCATGGTGTGGCAGGGTCGAGTGATCTCAAGTGCTCCATCGCTCGGCGCCCATAATTTGCTCAACTTCTCGGCTCCATCACGGCTAAAGTATGTTACATACAATATATTTTATTTTCCAGTGATCAGAGACTGCATTTTAACAATACCAGTATGAAAGAAAATAATTTTTTGCAAAGAATTTATTTTTGGCACAGTGGGAATGTCATATTTTAAGGCCGCGCAGCATCGTGGCTAAGGATACATGACTTGCAGATCTCTTGATAAAAGTAGTGTAACCAAGTAAAAGATCTAGAAATAATATCTGATGACCTAATGTTTACAGTTCACAATAAAGCAAACGTATAAATTCAATAAAGCAAATACTGGTATGCTGTAAACTCGCCACACCATGGCAGCCCTGTAGGCATGACCATTCTCGCATTCAACATATAATATTTGATTGTGAGGAAACAATTGATATTTTGAGCAAAGGCCAACCCTGGTCATAAGTTTGGCATGCTCTGCAGTTCATATGTTTGTCTTCGAGCTCTGTGGTCTGGCTCCACTCCATCTTCATCAGTATAATGATTCATTGTTCTGGATTTTAGGGTAGCCACTACAGTTTTTTTCTGGTGTTGGTTTTTGTAGGTGGTTCGTATCCAAATGTTGTGGTTGGGCTCTGCATGATTTGTGTCTAGGGCATGTCCATCATTCTAGTGGATGGCTTCTCCCATTTGATTCCATCTAGATTCCACCGTTTTCAGTGGTTGACACACCCTTCCATAGGTTTTGCAAGTTTTGCTGCTTTCCAGTAGATCTCTATGTGTCTGTGTGGAACCAGTGGCTTCTGTCCTATGTAGCCCTTTTCTCCAATTGTGAGACTTGCCTAGAGTTTGTAGGAGTTTGTGAGGAGCCCCGTCGGTTCCCTGGAGCTATCAGACTGATAGGAGATATATTTGTCTGGAGCATCGGTCAATTAAGAGTTCAGCCTACCAGGGACCACGAGTCAGAATCTGGTCCCCTCAGAGAGGCACAGGGAGCAAAGGCCTATGGAAACCCCCAATGTGGTTGGAGGCACTCCATGTCTGCCATCGACTGGGATTAGGCACCCAGAAATGTAGGCATAACAAAACAAACCCCACTTGGTAAGAAAATTGCAACTGAAATCCGAAGATAGAGGCAGAACTTCCCCAACAACCAAGGAAACGAGCAAATGTCATACACCACCGCCGCACTGCTTGTCCACTCAGCCCTCCCCTTCCCAGGAGGGGTAGGGGAGAGCCCCGGACTCCATGCGCTGGCTACTCGCACCTCCAGTTTGTTGGTTGATGTGGTCATTCTTCTGGCCCCTTGGTGGCCGGCCCAGCCTTGGTTTCTGGCATTGCTTGCTTGGTGTCCAAACTCGGTGCATTTTCTGCAGCTCCACCTCTTCCAGCAGATGTGGATGTATCATCACTTGTATGGTAATCAGGTGGCTTCTTTGATGGTGTCCCACTTGTGAGCTTCATCTCGGCGACAGTATGAAGTTTCCTGGCGTTCTTTTTGCCACTTTCTCTCCGTGGGGTTGTCTTCTATTCCTGATCAGGTTGTTTTGTCCTTTCTTTCTTGGCTTCTTCAGGACCGTCATTTGATGTCATATACTGTCGCCTCGTATTGTGCGGCGCTTGTAGAGCCGTTTCAGCTTGAGTTCGGGGTGAATGTCACTTCCGCCCCGTTCTGTAAACCTTCTCGTGCTTCGTTTCACCTCCGGCCTACTCGTGGGCCGCCTGAACAGTCCTGGTTTCCGGAGTATCCTTGGGCTATTGATGCTTGGATGGTCAGGCGAGGGGTGCATCATGTGTTGTGTCCGGTTGTGGGTCTTCACAGTCGTCTGGGTGCCTCAACCTCTGAGTGAGGTTGTTCTTCTCATCTGGAGTTTCTGGATTTTCCTTCATTTCAAGGTCTGAAGGTGGCAGCTATCCTGGTATCCCACTTAAATCATTCATCTAAGCAACGAGTCTGGGGTCTTCGTTGGTATTAGGGGTTGATGTCATCGCTGTTTTGCTAGTTGTCATATATTTTTTCCCCTTGGGCATGTTCTCTTTCCTGTTTCTACCTGATCCCTGCATTGGGTTTTGGTTTTTCTGTAGACTGCTTGGTTCTGTCATTCCTTTGGTCCATGTTTAGTTTTATGGCCAGGTTTTGTTGGCTATGCTTTCAGATGTGGAGTTAGGGTGCTTTGTGCTTTCCTGCGGAAATGGCGAGTTCTGTTTCTTTGGCCTCTGTGTTTTTTTTCTGTACCTGCCTTCTTTTCTGACTGCATTAGATGGATGGTTTACAGAGATTTGTTGGGTGTTGATGCTTGGTTTGTTCGGCTGGAAGTTTTTTGTTGTTGTGCCTGATGCCTGGTTTCTTAAGCACCATATGGATGCTATAAGTATTTGATGACCTGGTGTCCTTGGTTCCTTGTTCCATAGCTCATTTTTTCTCTGGTCTGCAGTGTCATTCAGTTTAACCAGTCTGCAGTCTATCCTTATTCCCATGATCAGTGGTTCTTAGCATTGTCCACTGTATTTTCTTAAGTTTTTGGTTATTCGGTCTTGGGTTTTGGTGGCATGAGTAGCTATTATGCAATGTGTAATCACATACGCAAAGACAGGTGCAACACTGCTACCAAACAGGCGAGTAATGTTTTCACCATCGGTCAGTCTTGTCCCTGCCTTCACCTGTTCCAGGTGTTGGATAGATGAAATTTGGCAAATTACCGAGAACCAAATACAAACACAATAACAAAAATCGGATTTCTGTACTTGGTTGCTGGACCTCATCACACACTCGTACTAAACTCGTATAAACAGCACTGCATGTGGTCTGGGAACTGGTATCTTATGCTAATCTTATCCAAGCACATGCTTGGAGTTTACAAAAGTACAAGGATTTTCTCAACACTACCACACATTGCTACTGCGCGAAAAACACAAGAGGCAGGTTGCAACACTCAGACCATATGTGGTATCATGCGAGGTGGACATATAGCTGATTGTGTCATGTGGCATAATGGTAGCAATGCTGCAGCTGGCAACACACACAGTGGAGGTCGGTACATGTGGGTTGTGAAGGAGCAAGACATAATGCATGATGCACGGCAAACTCGCTTCCCGATGAATAGGTACTGGGGCATATACACAAACTGTGTGGCAGCGCTCCTACAGTTCATGTAATGTTCACTGATACTGTGTAATTTACCATCCCTGGTGATTTTAATTTCACTGGATCACATTGGTGAACTGGAGTCTACCTTATGGTGTCCGTGTTAATGTTAATAACTTTATTTTGGTATAGTTTCAAACATGATTCTGGGTGTTTGTTAGTTGTAATGAAATAAGTATCCTGAAGTTATTTTGACACATTGGGGATTGTAGTGACATGATAAAGGTCTGTTGGTTGTCAGACAATAGATACCTATGTCCTCTTGGTATGACAAGGTCTAGAATGCTGGAGCTAGCATCTCGTGGACCTCACAGGAATTCATGGAGGCAAATAAGGCTACAAATTAACCAGTTTGGGGAAAAGCAGCTTGCTTCCTCAAATCATGTAGGCCTGTTTGTGGGTGGTGTGAGGTATGACGCCACTACTCAGGGCCACCACCAACACCTGCCTTGGGCTGGAAATGTGCACTCTGTAGCTCACCAGATGGCCGACCTCCCTTGGCACTATTCTGCCATGTAAATTCTTTAATGCTTCATGGCCAATCACACAGTGGGCACTTGACGGCTTTCTTGCAATAACCTTGCTCCTGGTAATTAGGGCTTTCCACAGATATCCCATATACCAGGTATTTCCCATTAGTAGAAATACTAGGACTGAACACTGTCGTTGTACACATGACTGGAATTCATGCTAGATGCACTGCAATATACCACACCTTTTGGCTGTAGAACACCAATCTCTCATAATAACTGTGAAGTTATCATTTAGAAAGTCCCAGTAGTTCCAATGCCAGTGTTGCCTTGCCTGTCTCTACATAATCATGTCATAGGAAACACTTTCATATGTTTTACTCTAAATGGTGCATTCCATGTACAGTACAGGTACTCAAAGCTTTAATATTGTAGTTTTTTAGCAATTGTGGGCCGGATTACATCTTGTAGTGGGCTGATCCGGCCTGTGTGTAGTTGCCCCTCTGATGGAAACTATAAATCTCATTTATCACTTTCCTCTTATGTCTCCACCTTCTTTCTTCCTTGTTCATTTGTCTACCTTTCCTTCCATCCCTTTAAACCACAATACAGAATATGCAATCACCACTACAATCACGACAGTTATCACCCCATACTCATTACATTCACTCTGTTACTCCAACCTATGCCCATTACACCAGCTTGTTCTTCTTACAGTCCTTTTACCCATTATTCCCCGGTACTCCTTACACTGCCCTTTCATATACAGTACCTGTACTAAGATTTGTCGTCCCGGGGATACCTTCTCTATTACTTTCATGCTATCGAAACATTTCTAGGCCTTTTTTGGTTTCTAGGATACAGAAGGAGTTGGCAGAGATCACGTTGGACCCTCCACCCAATTGTAGTGCTGGACCCAAAGGTGACAACTTGTATGAGTGGGTTTCGACCATTCTTGGGCCCCCTGGCTCCGTCTACGAAGGTGGCGTCTTTTTCCTCGACATCCACTTTTCAGCAGAATATCCCTTTAAACCACCTAAGGTATGACTTTTGTAGCACAAGGCTATTTGATATTCAGTTCCTTATAAAATACAAAAATTTAAATTATTAATTTTGCCAATGCTATTTGCTTGAATATTATTTGCTGAATTGCATCCAAAATTCAGAGTTAGGGCAAAAATAGGGGTAAGTCTAGGCTTGGAATAGATTTTGGCAAGCATGGCTTGTATTCTGTTAAACAGTTTGCAGAATAAAACGTGCAGATGTGCACATTAAGGCAAACTTAACCCTTAATCATTTTTAGTCTATATAACATCTGAAATCCACCCTTTTGTTATCTTGTTGACTTGCTAGCAATATTTAAATTGCTAGTAAATTTAAATTTACCTCTGGTAAATTTATTGATCTATTTATGTGCTCTAATAATTATTAATTTATTAACTCATTGCATATGCACAGTGCATTTAAACTTTCATCTTCCTTCTGTTTTATTGAAGTGTTAGTAAGACATCCCAAGCTTCAAGGTAGAAATGTAAGTTAGCTTCTTAGATATATTATCTAGATTTGCTGATTTAGGTTTTTAAGGTTTTATTTATTTTTTATTTTTTAATGTCAAGTTGCACACTATCTTCAGATGATACAGTTTGTGTCTCAGTTATGACATGTGTGTATTGTAATAGATGTTCTAGTTTTACTTGTTTTAATTAAATGTTCCTTGTCATATCTGCATATAGAGGCTGATGGAACCACACAGTTACATTGCTACATTTCATATAATTCTTAAAGGTGTAATGATGGTTAGATGGTCTGACATTTAATAAAATTGATATATGTTTTAAAGGGAAAATGACTTTCCTGAGGGAATCAGGATTCAGAAGATTAATTTACTGATTTGTAAAATTGTTCCTTTAATGACTGATTTCTTAGTTCTCTTTATGCTCTTTGATTTATATTTGATAATTTATTACTCTTGAATTTTTCATGTTGCAGGTTTTGTTTCGGACCCGAATTTATCACTGCAACATAAACTCTCAAGGGGTCATCTGTCTGGATATCCTAAAGGATAACTGGTCACCTGCACTCACTATTTCGAAAGTCCTCCTCTCCATTTGTTCCTTACTCACTGACTGCAACCCAGGTGAGAGACGACACACCAGCAAAAATTTTATGTACATTGTCTAATATCTCTTTTCCCCAGGTTTTATATTTTATCAGAATCTTTCTTTGGCCATCACAGTGACTTCCTTAAGGGGGGTATGAATCACATTAATTCTTATGGATATATTCAAAACGTCTGATTCTCATGAAACTTTATTTAAAAGTTTCATAAGAATTAGATGTTTTGATACACATTGATATACACAGTGTGTGTATCTCAGAGTTTGGGTGGATGTAATTAACTGACTTTTATGGGCTAATAGGCGTTGTGCAGTTCTATTATGATTGGTTCATTACACCATATAGTTGTGAAAACCATATGAACATAATCGGTGTACATATCGTGTAATTATAATTGAATTTTATACCATGGTTACAGTATTGGCATAGTAATATTTGTGAAGATAGCCACATTTGCATAGTAAGCAATCATGAAATAACTGGATTTTCAAGTGCCAAAGTAAACTCCACTATGTTCATATAGAGCTGTTATATCCATATTGTATCATTAGTATAAAACCTAGATAATAATAGTTTAATTTAATGTATGATGATAAAACCATTACCTAGAATCATCATAGGATAAATTCATTTTGAGGGCTAAACCTCAAGTTCGTTGTTCTGTCTTAATTGCTGTAAATAGTCTGTTAGTTACATTGGTGGCTAATTTTCAGCTGTAAATTATTTTTCTGTGCGCATTTCTTACGTCCTAATTTAACTGTACGTAATTATTTGGGCAGTTCTTATTCTCAACACAATGTTGCTTTCTGCAACAAGTGGTGGCTATTTCACCGTGAATGGCAGTCTTTTGTATATGTTTTAAGTGTGGCTTACAGAAGATTTTAATACTTGAAAGTGTCAAAAGATAGAAGATAGTTTAAAAATAGTGAGGGGGGGGGTTAGTTGCAGCAAGTGGGGAATTAAGATATTATTTTTTTCCACAAGATTGTTGCCATCCATTTCTTAAAGTGACGTGTCTTGCTTCACTTGTCCTCTGAATATTTTCAGATTTTTGCAGCTCGTCATATTCTTGTTCTGTTTTTGTCACAATCTGGCTTTGAAAATTTACAGCCTTGGGGAGAGGATAGCTCATGGTTTAGCTAGGCTATATGTAATAGAGAGCTATGTGGATGTATATTGTATCTAAAAGCCAAGTTGCCTACCGAGCCGAAGTTTCCTCAAATGTTATATTTTTTGTTTTTATTTTTTAGTATGGAATGATAAAGCTTTCTATTACATTATATTTGATTTGTTCTTAATTTAATCAAAATTAACAAATTTGATCAAACCTAAACTAAACTAACACAACTGTCGGTACTTCATGTTCCTAATATAATATATAAACAATGTTAGGAAAGAGCCAATTTGGATAGAAATATTTGAAAATGAGGAAAATTGCTAGGCCTAGCGCCTGTGTTTGTGTGTGTTCCTGATTTTTACTTTTTGTATGTTAATACAGTAGTATGTTAATTTGCTAACCAGTATTAATTTAATTTCAGCCGATCCACTGGTGGGGAGCATTGCCACGCAGTTCCTCCAGAATAGGGAAGAACATGACAGAATTGCTCGGCTCTGGACCAAACGTTACGCTACGTGATCACTTGTACCTAGTGTCAACAGGGTATTAAGCATCTCTTGCACCATGCCATTTTGTGTTTTAAGCCAGCAAAATAAAATAAAATTAAAATCACTTGTTTATGTAGGCATACATTCTTTATTATTCACAAATTAGCTGGAAATAGAAAGCTTCTAAATTTGTTTGTGGCATGGTGGAATAGATTGTTGTCATCGCTCATTACCTCATTTTCCAATATTTCCATGCTTTATCAAGCTCACTTTTTTTGTGCATCAGTATGGTATTGATGGAACTGAATCTATTCAGTGAGTTAGACTTTGTTTTAATTTTCTAGTTCAGTTCCTCATGACAGTATTTTGATGACTCCACTTATCATCCATGTACAATTTGGCACAACTTAAATTAGCAGCAGTGCACTGTCTCCATCTGAACTTGCCACCTAGCTGCCTCTCCTAGATAGCTTCCAGTCTGTCTATAGTAACAGTGCCACTAGTCTACTAGCTGTGTTGCCACTAGTCTATTTGCAGTGTTACCCACTCAGTGTTTCAGCCTTGTGAGAGTATTCTCTGCTCCCGAAGTACTGTAGGGGAGTTTGTGCTCTTCCTCAGATGTTCGCAGAGAAAGCATTGCCACAACAGTCTTTAGGGAGAAGTGCTGTGTTCAGCGATAAAGTTTGTGCTGATCCCACAGTGTAAATTGAGCAAGCGTTATCCCCGCAAAACTGTGATGGAGCCTGTTTTCCCCACACTTGTGAGGACTAAAGTGCTCCTCCCACAGTGTTGTAAGGATCAGGTATTTTTACAAGAGTTGAGAGATTGCATACGCTTTATACAGTGCTGTGTGGGAGTAAGTGCTTGCCCCCACAGCATCGTGAGATGAGCTGCCTGCTATCCCCACAAAGCTGTGTTAGCAAATATTATTCCCCAAAATTTGCAAAACAGGTACTGTTCCTTAGCATTGAGGTGGGATTACAGTTTTTATAAGGCTATTGATGATGTAACTATATATATATATATATATCTACAGTATATATATATACTCTTGTATGTATAATTAGATTTATTTTTTTGTGGGAAGGATACCCATTGATTTAAATTGACAGGAATGTTTTGTGCAATGTGGTGCACCAGAGGCATTATTTTGATTTAAAAATTGTGTTCATTAAAATTTTTCAGGTTTAGTCAGCCTGGGTAATAATTTGGAATGTAACTAGATCTAAGTGTAGATATAAGTTCCAAATTTAGGAATGATATATTAAAAAAAAGATTTCCATCTCTGGGTTTGTTGTTTCCATGTAGACTGTGTGTGTGTGTGTGTGTGTGTGTTTGAAGCTGCCTCATGTATGGTAACATCATTGAATCTTCTTGGGCTATGAGTTAGCTGTGAATGTGAGTGAAGTGAGAGATGGAGATATTAAGGATTTCTTCACTTTCGTGTATTTTGTTTTGAGTTGCTCAGTGATGTAGCTTGGCCAGATGAGTTAAGCTTTTACTGTTGCTTTGTGAACTGGAGAACAATAATCAGAATGTCCCCTTTTGTCATGCAACAATACCTCATTATTTTGCCATTATGTGTGTTCTGTGTAGACATGTAGCATATAATATTATTAAAAAAAGTGCACAGTGGCTGATAAAGTGTAAGGGTAAGCATCCAGTCGTACTGGATGTGGTGGTGAACATTTTTTCCTCGTAAAAAAGAACATTTATCATTGATATATCTTCCCTTGTGACTTTCTCTGGTTCTCACAGGGAAGGTGCATTAAATGTTGAGAAATGGACTCTTGAACATTACTTGTTACATATAACGGTGCTGGAGGTGTCTTAAAGGAGATGGGAGTGTATCGTATGTAGCAGACATGCTTGCAACAGTTGTGTGCATATTTCTGTGTCTGTTGTCGAATGCAAAATGAAGTCAGTGCTGAAATATAATTTTTCTGGTATGATTAAGGTACTTTTAAGGTTGGGGAGCCTTGTGTAGCATCCCCTGGCACAGTGTTGAGCATACTGGAGCATGCAACTGCTGCAAATGTTGTCTTGACAACTGTATACTTTGTCATTAGCAAGATCTTGATAAATTTTAAATTTCATTTTGCGAGGACCAATTTTTATTTTTTTCTTAATTCATAGTCCTCTAGAGTTTTAGTTGTCAGTTTCAATGTGATTCTATGAATGAGAACTACACCAAAAATGTGTTGAGAATGGAATAATAAATGTTTAAAGAAAGCTTGCTGTACTCCATATCTACTCTTGAAGAATTTTTGTTTGTATTTCGGAGAGACCAATACACACGTGTATGTGTTGTCTTGTGCCCTGTTGCAGAGCATGGTACTGTTGAGCATGCCTGTGTGGTCATCCTGGGAAGTTAGAATTGTTTTCCAAGTATGACTGTCATGTATATACAGTATACTTTTTAGGTAGATCATAACAGCAGCTACGGTCAAGAGTGCTTTAGCTGTATAAGCAGGACAGTATTTGTAACAAAAATTTAGTAAATAATTTTAAATATTGTTGACTTTGCAAGCTATGAATAATTCACTCATGCTATTGAATACTGCACCGAATTTACTCTCATCCTGGATTCAATCATCACCTGATGGGCATTTTTATTTCATATATCAGCCTTTTTGCATACTTTAAAAGGGCATGTGGCTCCCCACCCCAAGAAATTAGGTAAAGGGGCAATGATGGTGATTATGTTGGTTTTTGTATAGAAAGTACATCCTTAATTGTATTTTTTTTTTTATCACATAAACAGGAGAGATGTGTGTTAATTCATGTAATTAACACAGTTAATATGGTTTTAAATCAAGGATCACAACATTCCTCTAGTTATGATTAAGACTGCTGTATATTAGGTAATACTTCTGGCTTTAATTCACCAACTTTATCTCTGGAAAGGATTACTGGAGGAAGAGCTGCAGATTGCTCTGTGTATTGGTCTACACTTAGTTCCAAATAAAACATGTAAAGATAATTTCTTGTAGTTATTTCCTTATTGACATCATGATTAATATGTATTGTACTTTTACAGAGGAGCTTAGTTAGAAATGATTTGGTTAATAAGTTTTTAAAATTAATGGGAAGTAAGGCAAGAACAATGACAATGATTAAGGAGGAGGTTGATGTTGACTAAGAGAAAAGTCTTTGGATTCTTAAAGTTCAAAGCATAATGTTGAATAAAGAAGGTTTTTGAAAATAAAGAAAAGTATGATGAGGTAAACACATTCTTAATAGTTTAGCAAGACAGTTGGTGAATGCAGCCTTTCTCTGGCAATGGTGATGCTTCCAGAGGTAGGTTTTGGTCTTTGTTGCCAACAGTAGGTTTAGTCTATAATGCCAGGAAAAGGGTTGGTGTACCCCCACCAGAAGTAGGGCTAGTATATCCCTCCAGAAGTAGGATTAGTATATCCTGCCAAAAGTAGGGTTGGTCTACCTGTCAAGTAGAATTAGTCTTCTCTGCTCTAAACTCTCAACCAGTCATGTGTCCACATATGATATGACACCTACAGCACTTTTATAGCCCCGGAGACTTGTGCTATTGGGATGATTTACTGGTTCTTTAGCAGGTCATACGGTCCTTATTGTGGTGGGAATGTATGGTGGCTAATTTTATAAATTTAAACCTTCAAGATTACTGCATGTATGAAATTAAAACATACAATAAAAGGTACATAAATTCACTTGAATGCATATAAGGAAGAATTAAGCTAAAGGACTTGGAAATTCTCTTGAGAGATTAGAAAAGTTAAATTTTCATTCTTTAGAAAAATTAAAAATATGGGGTGACATGATTGTATAAATGAATTAAAAGGGGGTAAAACAAGGGTGATTTAACTTAAAAAAAAATATATATATCACTCGAAAGGGTGTATATAAATCGGAGAAACTTAAAATTAGAAAGACCTGGTGCAATTTTTTATTTTTTAATCTTGTTGATTTATGTAACAAATTAATGAGCAACATAATAAGATACAAATGTTGGTGGTAGAGCATTTCAAAGGGACTAGAACTATCCACTATGAGGCCCATGACCAGGAAAGTCTTCTCTTTCTCCAGGCAGGACTGAAATGGGGGACCGGTGGTCTGTTTTTAAAGCAATTCCAGATAATCAATTTATTTTTATTTTTAACATTAGAAGTGGACTGCATGTTAAGGTGTGTGTGTTATTTACAAATGTGTTATTTACAAATACAAAATGTTTATTTCCAATTTGATATAGAGAATAAATTATGCTTTAAATAGATATTTTCAATGTCATTTGCTTACAAGGTTTGCAGAACAATGTCTTCTTTCTAGCATTCTATGGCAACTCAGATGATTTGAGTTGCCATAGAATGCCAACTCTAAGGATGCTGAGAAACATTTGGTTTTGGTGTGTAGCAAAGTTACTGTCATGTCATGGTGGTGTATCGCGAAGCACTCCTGATCCTTTTGGAACACTACTACCTTCTGGTATAATCAGTAGCTGCATGTCTTTGTTGTATAAAAATTATCATAGAATTTTGTCTGAAATCACCATTTCAGTGAATGGTGATTTTAAATGAATATATAGCATAATAGTGATTTTGGTGTGGTTAAACCACAGATTGCCTATGTTTGTGGCAGTCAACACCTGTGAGAGATTATACAAACCCGGGGGAGATTTGGCCATTACATCTGTATGTCTTAATAGATTATTTGGATTACAGTACTTACTAAAATTAATTACTAGAATTAATGATTTACAGTGTCTTTTATTTTTCAATTTAATATTTTGCATATATTTAATGCAAGGACCGACCGAGTCGGTCATACTTCCTTTCTTCCGAAAGTACCTTGACTGGGACTGTCAGTCCATATTGAGGCAAGAACTGAAACTGTTGGTTCTTTTTGAAGACTGGATGCCCACCTTTGAATAGATGAGGGGTCACTGGATTGTTTCAAGTACAAGTTGAACATAAAGGTGGCAGTTTGTGACGATATGAATAGCTGTTTTATATAGTCCAATAGACCTTCTGCCGTGACCTTTATAATGTTCTTATGGAAGAATATAAGAAGATGGAATTTGTGAAAATTTTAAGGAAGAACAATTTTGTTTAGCTTATGCAAGACAAAAGGATGTGAAAATTTTAAGGAAGAACAATTTTGTTTAGCTTATGCAAGACAAAAGGATGTGAAAATTTTAAGGAAGAACAATTTTGTTTAGCTTATGCAAGACAAAAGGATGTGAAAATTTTAAGGAAGAAAAATTTTGTTTGTTAAGCTTATGCAAAACAAAAGGATATGAGCATGATAATTGGAATGGAGTAAGTGTTTTAAGAACAGGAGTAAACGAAAGTGAAGATAATAAGGAAGGTGCATCAGTTGTATTAAGAGCAAACATTGTTTTCCAATGCTGCTTTAGGTAAACTTTTGTTTCAGACTTTTCACATATGTGCCATGGGGTATGTAGTGTAGGCCTACTCTGTTTGGGGTGGTGAGCTCAATGGATTTCGTCAGGATGAACTATTTTCCTGTACTATATGGAAATTATTCACACTTTATTTCCTGGTAATGTTTCAGTTATGAAGAGTTGAGGGAGTTACTGCATATCTTGTTGTGTGCACTAAGGTTATGTTGCCTTGCTGTTCTTGTTTTCAGCGGCTCGGTTGAATTGCCACTTATTTACAAGCAGTGGTGATACCAAGGGTTGGTGAGCACTATCTGTAACATGTGTCTGCCTCTTTACTTGGCTCCCAAGAAATTTGAAGTAAACATTACAAATACCAGAATATAATGGATAGAAATAACCTTGTAGCTGCTTTGAGCAAAATTGTCTCTGTTCATGACAAATGAATTCATAGTATGCACAATATTGTTAAAAATAGCAGACTAAATACAGTAATGATCATGAATAATCATACTATACAGTACTGTACTGGAAATTTCTTAAACTTCCATTACCTTAGCCATTATTTCTGCCAGCCCCTTCACTGCTCTACTTTCAAAATCCTGGGATTACTTTATTGATGTTTAGAACAAATTCTGAACTCCATACTGTATTCTGTTACTTCCCCTAGATACATTGATCCTTTGTGCCCTAAAGCATTAACAAAATCAGAACAATACACAGTACATGACCTAAAGCAGCCATTTAGGACTGTATTGGGAATTACTCAAGACTAAAAATAATTCCACTTAGGTTAGTGTTGTGAGCCTAAGGCCTGTCAACCCCTAGAGAGGGTTATTAAGGCCACTACAATAGCCTACTGATTAACCAGCAAGCATACTTTAGTCTTGAACTTAGTTCAGGACTAAGGTAAACTTGATAAATTGTGTACACCTCTCAGGTATATTAATGTCTTTCCATTAAGGGTTACATACTCATGAGGTCTGCTTACAAACCTCAAGCTATAGGTTTAAGTGCTGTCATCTGATAAGCATGTGAAGCAAGAGTTTGCCCTGATTGGATGTGAGGTAATTCAATCAGATCAAACACTTAGTTTGCCTGACCATCAGATGACAGCACTGCTTATGTGGGATTCATCCTTTCAATCAATCTTTACATACATCCTGACTGCGCTACCAATTCAAGGCTAATATGAAGCGATTTAACAGGATTTCTGATTTAACTGGAAGCTGAAACCTTTAAACAGTCATTAGCTATTCCATTCACCTGGGCTCTAGGGAAGACAAACTGTGAACCCCACGTGTGTGTGTGAGGCCGAGGCTCTATCGACCGAGCTATTGAGTAGTCTTAATAAGGAAAGATTCCAGAAGCAGCATCCTGCTGCCAAATAGTCATTTTATAGTCATTAGCTAAGTTAAATATTATAATTTACACACTTATGATGGGTGAGGAATCTTAAATTTTAGTTGCCTTGAGACCTGGTCAGAGACCGGGGCTATGGGGTCACTGATCCACAGACTCATCGACAGGATACTTTGGATTAAGTGCTTCATTGCCCATACTATCTTTAAACTGTGGTGTCTTTTATGGAGATTAGGGCACTTTCTGCATGCTGGTTCTATTAAAGTGTAGCTTAAGATGTATGGCTCAGATTCTTATGTGCTTGGGGATTAGCCACAGTTTTCTGTCCTCACCAATGAAATTAGGAATAGTTTACCATTTTTTTCAGGTGTGTGTGATTATGATTACAAGATTTTAAATCACATTGACATTTTCAACTCAAATGGTATCGATACGTACTCAACACCCTAACATATCCCCCCTTATATTTATAATAATAAAGAAAACATTAGAGAAAAAAAAAATAAAAAAAGTTGCTCAATTTCTATAATTACATTTTTTCTGAATATAGTTAATTTGTTGACCAAAGAAATTTGCAAGTTCCTCATCTAAAGTGGCTTTCATGATGCTTTGCACTTTAGTGATCAATTGATTCAATCTTGGTTGAATATCGAAAGAGTGCAGGATAGATCATGCTGAGGATTAAGTGCATGTCTTGCCTTGGCCTTCATGGCTATGAGGCTTGAGAATCCTGATTTATAGGTACAGTATTCAGTTTTATTAAAGCAGAATTTTTGTTTTTGCAACCCAGCTGAGAATCTTATTTTTTGGTTGGCCCCTGACATGCATTTTTGACCCAACTGTGCTTTGTAAACTTGGATTTTTTAGAATTAAGTACCCAGTATTACAGTATACTGTGTATTGATCTATCATGACTTGAAGCTTTTTAAAAGTATTCACGATAAATTTTTAATATCCAAGAAACGAAATTCCTGAGAAATATCTCGACTGAAATGATTTTTAGTTGATATTTCATATTTTAGGTAAAAATTGAACAAGTATTTTTAAATATAGAAATATATTTTAGACAAAATTTAAATTTATTTTTATAAATAAAATATTTGATTGTAGATAAAATTCAACAAGACTTGAAATACTGTATAAAAAGGTTTCAAATAACTTTTTTCAAGATTATATAATTTTTTACCTTTTGACGAATGAGTAAATTCTTTTTGTTGAGGGTCTATCATAATCCATACAGAGCA